GATATAGTTATAGATATATTTATTATCCATCCATTCACATCTAGAGTTGAGCTAAGTTTCTTAAGGAGCGCATATATCAGGATAAGGCTGGATTTAATTTGCCCCTGTCCTGTTTTTCTCTTCTCCTCGTCTTCGTCTTCATCTTCTCTTCTTATTCGCCTGCCTCTTCGTTGCTTCACTTCTTCCGCTCTTCCTCCAGCTGTCATCAGTCAAAGCTCATAATTATTGAAATGGTTTTTTTTTTCGTATTTATTATTATTATCTGTGAATGGAGTTTGGGGCCACAGCACGCGTTGGCTATAATGGACGGCTGCTTCTAAATGCTATTGGAGCTGCGATGGCGACGACGACGCAGCGGCAGATGCCCGAGATCCAATTGCTGATCATCGGAGCTCGATGCGGGCGAGCCGTTGTCAGGGTCCCAGCTCATGTTGTGCGCATCGTAGCCAGCGATAGCGCCATTTTCGGTGCAGAAGCGCTTGCCGTTGCCATTGCCACAGCCGGTCGATGGCCATTCCATCATGGCGACCCGGCACTGGGTGTTCGTCATCGTGTTCAGCGGCTTGCCCGTGACATGCAGCGGCGGCTCCACAACCGACATCGGCTTCACGCCGGTGTCCTCTGTCACCGCCAGCTTCATGAAAGCCTTGGACAGATTGCGGCTGACGTTCTTCTCTGGAGATTCCTCGTCCTCCATTGGCTCGGTCTCATCCTCCTGTATCGGGGGCAAAGTTTTCTTCATCTTGAACGACTCACGTGCCAGTAAAATTGATTTGATATAGTCGCGTTCCCAAATTGCCTTGTGAGCCTTTTGCATCCTCCGGTTTATCTGCCCGAGGAATATAATCAGAAAACAAAAAAAAAACAAAATTAAACTTTGCTAAATTTTCGCTTTCACTGCCGTTTGACACACGACCACAATTCTGCATCAAGTGACAGCCCAGTTAGCAAAATTCACAGCCCACTAGATGTGGCTGACATAAACGGACAGCAGAGCTGTCGTTATCCCACAATTTTCGGCACTTTCCAACACTGAAATGCTCTTATTCTCCTACTTCTGGCATCACATGTCGCACTGGGCTACCATCTTCATTACTCAGCAATCGATATGAATTGCATTGAATCGAATCGAATCGAATCTCATTGAGCGCTTGCAGGAATAATCACCTTCTCGCTCTCTCTCTCTCTTATATATACATACATATAATTAAATTTTTGTGTATTAATTGCACTATTTATTATTATTCAATACTCTCTCTCTCCCTCTCACTCTATCTTTATTTTTCTATTTCTCTCTCTCTCTTTCTCTCGCTCTCCCTCTTTCTCTCTCTCTCTCTCTCTATATATATCTCGCTCTTTTTCTTATTATCTTACACTATTTATTATTATGCAGCTATCTCTCTCTCTCTCTCTCCCTCTCTCTTTCTTTCTATCTCTCTATCTTTCTTTTTCTATCACTCTCTCTCTCTCTTTCCCTCGCTCTCTCTCTCTCTTTCTCTCTTATATATACATATAACCAAGTTTTTGTGTTTTAATTGCACTATTTAGTATTATTCAATTCTCTCCCTCTCTCTCCCTCTCACTCTATATTTCTTTTTCTATCTCTCTCTCTCTCGCTCTTTCTCTTATTATCTTACACTATTTATTATTATGCAGTTAACTCTCTCTCTCTCTCCCTCTCTCTGTCTTTCTATCTCTCTATCTTTCTTTTTCTATCACTCTCTCACTCTCATTCTCTTTCTCTCGCTCTGCCTCTCTCTCTCTCTCTCTTTCTCTCTCTCTCTCTCTCGTTATCTTATAAATATACATATGATCAAATTTTGGGTATTCTATTATTATTATGCAATTATCTCTCTCTCCCTCTCACTCTCACTCTCTTTCTCTCTCTATCTCTACCTTATACATATAATCCAATTTTGGGTCATCTAATGGCACTACTTATTTGCTATTTTGAGTCTGCGCTCAACTTTTGATCAATAGGAAATTAGTTCCGTATCGAACTACTTGCTATATCGCATAACTGTAATAGGAACAACCTAAGGGAATAAACTATTTGCTATATACGTGAGTTATAATCTTTCTTATTCACTTGCCAGCTAAATCTGAGAGCTGTCTACGGCCTGTCGCAGCAACGTTTGGCCAACAATTGAGCTCTTCCATGCGCTAGGGCTTGCTTTGTTTATTGATATTACTCAAATCAGCATTTGATGGCTTAGCTCTGATATCCCATTGGCAGACAGCTAGATCCGATAGACGTATTTATCTCTAAATTCCTCGACTCCTATTCACAACAGACAGCCATGTCATATTACGTCAGGCGTCGCGATTGAATGTGACACCCACCACCCCCCACCCCCCAGCACAGGGTTTCTCAGAGTGGAATATACATATGTATGTATGTGTGCTTAAAGGAAATCAACATTAGATTTATTGATTCTGTTTTTAACTTGAAGCCACTGAACGTGGAAAATCAGAGCAGAATGGTTTAGTTAAATGAATGTAAGAGGCAGAGGGAGGCGTGGCAGGCCCCATAGAGTACTTATATTCTTGATTATGACGTCGAACTGAGTTGATTTAGATCTGTCCGTCTGTCTGTCTGTCCTATCCGTCTATCCGTCTCAGATGCCATGAGTTCGTTTCCAGACCTCTCCCGTTTTTTTGCTATCGACAACAAATCGGATCGAAAATCAGCTATAAAATTATATCTCCTACATCTTAAGAGCTAGTATCTCCAAATGTTATTTATATATTCATGTGTATTTTATAGAATATTTAATTTTTTTTTTAATTACCCCCTCCCCATTCCACAAATGCCCCATTCTCATAAAATTTGCAGAAAGTATATTTCAAATACTAGAGACTTCTGCTTTGGTAAATGTTATTATGACGATCTGAAAGAGTCGGGAATATAGTTCATCTAAAAGAAAATCCAGAAAAGTTCACATAGTACTCCCACACCATGGTCCAGGAGTGCAAATTATTCAAATATCAGTTACTCGAAGGGTTGATTGGATCTCTAAACTCTCTCTCTCTCTCTCTCTCTCTCTCTCTCTCTCTCTCCTCTCTCTCTCTCGACTAGATCTTGTGTACTTGTTATTGGCTGATTTCCAAATCAATCTGAATATTGATTAAATCTGAATATTATTAATCCATTCTTAGCATCTTATCTCAACATCTTCATCTTCGGCAATTCAACAAAAACTTCTCCATATCATACAACATATATCGAATAGACATTTCATATAGAAAATCCGCCCAATTTAATCATTGTCCAAACGGACAGATCTTAAAGACAACAAAAAAAAAAAACAACAAAATTGAAAACTTAATTTTTGCATAAATAATATAATATATGATATATGATTATAGCTAACTGGCTTTATCAAACATGTGAATGAAGTTAATTCTAAGCTTATTTTTCATTTTTCAAATGAGTTTTAACAAGCTGTAAAAAACAAAATCTTTACTATGGACGCTATAGAGCTGACGAATCATATAAAATTGAGCTACTTTAGCAGATGGCAGTTGCGTGAGCAGTGGCTAAGGTTTTTTATTTAACAAGTTTCCTGCTACCTTTAAAGGCAGCTCAACCTAGCTGTGCATCTTAGGCATATAAACAAAGAGGCTTACCTCAGAGAACTGCATCAGCTTCATATCGTTCCTGCGAGATGTTTCGATAAGGCAATCGCTGCTGCTGCTGCTGCTGGTGCTGCTGCTGCTTCTGCTTCTGCCTTAGCTGTTTCTGTTTCTGTGGCTTTTGCGCCCTTGTCGGCTGCGTTGCCTTATCGGAATGCAAAGCGCAGCGCGAGGCAACGCCAAAAATCAAAAGGAAAAAAAAAGTCGTCAAATAAACAAGTAAAAGTGATCGAGTTAAGAGTGCTCGACTAGCTGATACCCAGAACTCTGCAAACTGAGAAATGGTGGGTGGGAGAGAGGGGGGGAGTATGGGAAAGAGAGAGATATAGGCAGGGAGAGTGGCAGTGGAAGGGATAGAGTGATAGCGAGTGAATGAGAGAGAGTGAGAGGGTGAGGGGTAGAGAAAGAGCGAAAATGGCTGGGCGAAAGAGTGAATTAAAGGGCTAAAGCGGCTAGAGAAACAAAGAGAGAAAGAGAGGGAGAGAGTAACATTGAGAGAGAGAGAAAAGAGAAAGGGACGGGGAGAAAGAGATGGAGAGGGGGAGAAAGAGAGAGAGAGAGAGAGAGAGAAAGATGCAGCGGAAGATTGAGGAGCAGAAAGAGAGAGACTAGAGAGTGAATAAGAGAGGGAGGCAGAGAGAAACAGAAAGAAACAAGAAGAACAGAAGAAGAAGAAGAAGCTATAGAGAAAGCTATAGAGAGATGAAAAAATAAAGAGAGAGAGAGAGAGATAAACAGATGCGGAAAGAGAGAGACATAGAAAGATGATGTAAGAGAGAGGCAATGAGCACCACAGTAAGAGAGAGAGAGAGAGAGAGAGCGCGCGAGAGAGAGAGAGAGAGAGAGAGTCCTAGTGGCAGAGAGGCAGATTGACCAAATAAGTCAAAGAGAGAGATAGCGATAAACAGATATGTCAATATTGTTGCTGTGCTCGCCCACGCCTGCGCCACACCCGCCACCTGCAAATGCAGCAAATACAGAATACCCCAGAAACCTCTTTACAATGGGTTCAGGGTATACGAAAGCAAAAACCCGAACAAAAAAC